CAGGAGGATCGCTTGAGGCCAGGAGTTAGAGCCTGCAGTGAGCTATTATGGCACCACTGCACTTCAGCCTGGGCAACAGAGAGAGACCCTGTCTCAAAAAAATAAAAACAGTCTCATGCCAGTTTGTCTCTCAGACTTGCAGGGATTTTCCCCATCCCTGCCTTCCACCTTTCAGTGGAGATGGCATCTAGGCACAAGAGAAACGCACGTGTCTTCCTGGTGAGGGGAGAAAGAGCCTCTCATCCCTGTTCTGTCCTCCGGCCTTCTCTAGAGCTGGTCCTACTGAGGAGAGACAGGTCTTAACTAATCAGGTTCCCAGGACCCTGTCTGGTGTGCACTGACTGGCTGGCGACACTCATGGCCTCTTCCCGGTGTGGACAAGTCTTGCTGCTCTTCCCTTGCTGACTGTTGAAGCGGATGCTCCGAGCCGCGTCCTCCGTCTGATCCCTGGCTCGGAGCCTGTGCCGGGGGACCGCCCTGGCCCGTAACCTTGAGGACTCCAGAGCGGGTCCCCGGCTCTGCACACAGCCTCCCTCCACGGTCCCACCTGTCGTGACGGTAAAGGAAGCCCTTTGCCCAGACATGGTATTTTAGCCCTTTCGAACTTACCACGTGGCAATGTCACGTTACTCTGGCTCCATGGTGGATGTGGGGGCTTTTTAAAGGGGCTTTCAATTTTCCTGGGCTACGTCAAGGCCGTCTGCGCTGAGACTTTTCCAAACCTCAGAGATATTTCTTACCGCCTGAATATCCCTTGGTCATAGATTTGATCCTAAGGGCACAAGGAGACCAGAAGAGTCTCTCTCTCTATCCCCCCTGCACCGCACCACGTGCATCTGTCTGTCTGTCTGTCACATCCCTCCCTGGGTGCCTTCCTCTTGGACTTTCCGCCCTTAACTCCCATACGCCCGCCTCTGTTGACTATGGTTGTTGCTAAAACTCGGTGGTCTTGAGTCCAACAGACATGCTTGTTGATGTATGTGTAAGAAGGTACATTTGGTATTTAATAAAACCCTTTTTTATCCCTGAACAAGGGAGGCTTTCAAAATTAAAACTCAAAAAGGTCAATATTGAGATTTAAAACTGACAAACGATGCCCTTGTTGTAGGCTTTACCCACCCTGCACTTGTCTGAATGCAGCCCTATCTGATAGAACTTTCTGCAGTGGTGGAAATGGTCTATCTGCTATGGTCACTATGGTCCAGTACTATAGTCACATGTAGCTGGTGAGCACTTAAAATATGGGTCATGTGACTGAGGACTGAATTTTATTTCATTTTAATTAATTTAAATTACAGCATGTAGCCAGTGGCTAGTATAGTGGACCAGGCAGAGGAATAATAAACTCCAAAGCAGGCCCAGGGCACTTATGTTTGGTATCTATTGTGAGGTGTGTATTTTGTCTATATTTTTTAGGTTGTTAAAAAAAAAAAAAGAGCTACTATTAATACTTTTTGATGTCTGGAATGGTATAAAATGATACGGACCTATTGTCCTGTTTCTTCCTAGAATCTATGAGCTATTATTGAAAGATAATGAGCCCTATTTTTTTTTTGGAGGAGACAGAAATGTTGCTCATGTATGCCCTGCTGGGCTAGAGTGTGTTGCAATCAGCCTTAACTCCAGCAACCCTCAAACACTTCTGGCTCCAAAGATCCTCGCTGCCTCGCCTCCCCAGTAGCTAGGGGACTACAGGTGGCATTTTACCACCAACACCGGGCTAATTTTTTTATTTTTTTGGTGTGACAGGGTCATCACTGCTAGGTCAGGCTGGTCTAAACTCGGATCTAAATGATCTTCACCGCCTGCCACTCTCAAGAGTTTTGCGCTAGAGGATTACAGGTTAGCCACCGTGCCCCGGCCCCTTAATTTTATTATTCAAGAAATGTTAAGTGGATAAAAAGGGAACATTTGTGTTTGAAAATTGGTATTGTGTTCTTTTCAGGAAAGGGATTCGTGAGCTTGAAATGTAATCAGGACAGTCCTGCATAACTATGATTACTTGTAAAAAAATCTTATGATGATAAGAGAAGATTATCCAAGAAGGTATGTTTTAATCTACTTTTGCGTTCAATAATCGCTCTTTGTTAAGGAGTATCTAGTTAGATTTTCCTGTATTTGATATAGCCAAAATAGATGGTATTTAAAAAATCATTTTGTTAGGCACTTGAAGTATATTTTGGTAGATTCTAGCAAGAATAATGAACACCAGATTATGCGAAAATGATATGGTTGAAATAGCTAGAAAAGAGGAATACACCCCATAGAAAGCTTTCCTATATCCATTTTCAGGCTCGGTTCTTCTATGTCCTAACTGCAGGTGTAATGAGAGGATAACTAACAATATTCAGCTTGAAGACCAAAATGTTTGTCCCGAAAAATGATTGGAGAAACATTTCTACAGTAAAATCATCCGTTAGCAGTAGTATGGATTTTTAAAGGATGGAACTTAATTGGGGTGTTAGTTTACCTCAATAAAAATGCACCATTGTTTGGCCGGGGCTCGGTGGCTCATGCTGGAATCTTTGGCACTCTGCAGGAAGCCCAGCGAGAAGGATCACTTGAGCTAGGAGTTTCAGGGACAGCCTGAGCAAGAGGTGAGCCCCGTCCCGGCTTTAACGTAAAAAAGAATAGAATAGCGGGCTTTTCTCACCGCACCTTCGCCTTTTAGTTCCCAGCTATTGAGAGCTGAGCAGAGGATCCAGCTTGGAGCCAGGAGCTTGAGCTTGTGAGCTGGTGATGCCACGGCACTCACTCTAGCAAAAGCAACAGAGTGAGACTCTGTCTCAAAAGAAAAAAAAAAAAAAGAAGAGGTTTAGGCGGGAAAAGGGTGCCGTAAGCAAGCAGAGGTGGATATTTCCCTGTGCCTGTGTAGTTCTATTACATGCTGCATGCATTGCATTGCATGTCTTGTCAGCATGTTAAATCTCCCACCCGGGCTTGATTTTCAGCATTAAACTGAGATTATAATGAGGGAAAAGTCAGGGTGAGGTCAGTATAGGGTCCCTCTTGGCTTGCAGTGGTTAGACTGAGTAGGTCTGGTTTTTGTGTGGCAGGTTCCTTATCAGCGGGTGTCAGCATCGTGTTTGGGTGGTCTTGGAAAACATTGCTCAGGAGACAATTTAGCCCCCTCCTTTTATGGGTATGGGCTGAATTCCAGCAGCCAGGAGGTCATTTGTTTTCTTGCTCTTCCACAGTTGGTAAGGCTGGGTCTTGCAGCCTGTGCCGCCTCCCTCCGTCACAAGTGAGGCCCGAGTCCTGTCCCTATGCTGTCTCAGTTGAATCTGCAGATGTGTGACCCTCGGGCACAGAGAGCCAACTATATTCTACTGGTGGCATAATGTCACAGAGAGAAACCATTCCAAGTGACTTCAGACACAATAATATCATTGGATATGGCTAGGGAGATATACTGTAAGGACACTGTTTTTAGTAATTATATTGGTGGTGATGGTGTTGATATTGTTATTTTGAGACTCTTGTGTATATCCAGTGGGATATACACTGGATATATAATCCACACAGTGGACTATATTGGTGTCATAGAGAACTGGGATTTGGAGGATGGAAGAAAGAAAATACAGAGGTAAAATAAGGTCAAATAAAAAGCATATCATCCTGATTTTGAAATGAAGTGGAAGTATGAATTTATGATGTATTTTGTCTTTAAAAATAAATACATATTTCCGAAATAACCAGCTCAATAGCAGTAGTAACCCTGGTGCCAGATTATGGTCTTTAAACTCCGCATCCCACTAATAAAGAACTAGGGCTCCTTAAACAGTTCTAGGTTTGGTGCATGAAATGTACTGGATGAGCCTGGGACATATTGTCACACAAAAGCAAGGACTATTGGTATAATATCAAAAGTATTCAGGAGCCATTTAGAATAGGTTCTTACTGGCCAAAGATACGGCAATGTGATGATCGATAAAGATAACTGCATAGGCTAAAACTTACCAAATGAATTCAAGAGTTCATACTGATTCTCGAATAACAAAATACCTCAGTGATAGTCACTTTTGGAGTACAGGGAACCCGCACACTATTTTGAAAACTGGTAAATAGAGGAAAATAACCAAACATGTTTAACTTTCCCATAAAAAATACTCTTCAAAGTAACCAAACAGTTTGTGAGGGGTAAGAGCCTCCTTAGAGAAGCATTCTAGTTAATAATGTAAAAGGGATGATAGGGTTAGAATACCACTGTTTGGACCTCCTAAAGGCGTCATGGCTCTTCCAATCGACGGTCGCCAATGGCCACTAGCATCACAGAAAACAAAGCACACGGAGAGATATATCCATTTTCAGCTCAGTTCTTTATGTCCTTACTCCAGGTGGAATGAGAGGATAACTTTTCAGCTTGAAGCAAAATGTTGTCAAAAATGGAACTTTCTAAGTATATCCGTTAGCCAGTATATGGCTTTTTAAAATGAACTTAATTGGGGTGTAGTTTACCTCAATAAAATGCACCCATTTTGGCCGGGCTCGGTGGCTCATGCCTGGAATCCTAGCACTCTGCGAGGCCCAGGCGGAAGGATCACTTGAGCTAGGAGTTCGAGACCAGCCTGAGCAAGAGTGAGACCCCGTCTCTACTAAAAATAGAAAAATTAGCCGGGCATTCTCACACGCACCTGTAGTCCCAGCTACTTGGGAGGCTGAGGCAGGAGGATCGCTTGAGCCCAGGAGTTTAGGTTGCTGTAAGCTGGCTGATGCCAGGCACTCTAGCCCGGGCAACAGAGGGAGACTCTGTCTTGAAAAAAAAAAAAAAAAGCACCCATCTAAGTGTGCGGTTCAGTGGGTATTGACAACTGCCTATACCCACATAACTGCCTGTGGCAACCAAGGCCGTGAACATTTCCATCTCCCCAAGTTCTCTCGTGCCCCTTTGCAGTCAGTGATCCCCTGCCCTGTCTCAGAGCAACCACTGATTTTCCTTCGGTCACAATAGCTTAGTTAGCCTGTTCTAGAATTTCACATAAGAGAATCACAGAGCGTGTGCTCTTTTGCCTCTGGCTTCTTTTGTTCAGCATGGTGTGGGGGGATTCATCCATGCCGGTGCTACCATCATTAGTGTGTACCTTTTGTTGGGGAATAGTGTTTTTTTCCTTTAAGACTGTGTGTACCCATTTTCCCAAGATGGCCCAGCAGCAGATTGTACTCAGAAGAGGAACGATAGGAACGCTCACCTCTGTTTGGACGGGAGAAATAACTACGTTTACTTCCTTCCAAAGGCAGCAGCCTCAGTTGTCCGCGCCTTCCTTTGTTTGCTTCTGGCTTTATAATCCAGAGTAACAGCTACCGTAGAAGGCCGTCAGC